ATATTTATCATTAATGTCCAATTCCATCAACGTAGATTAATTTTAATCTTGGTTCAACTTACTCTTCATCTTTTCCTAATTCTAAAAATTAGAAAAAAATAAAGAGCAAGTTAAACCAAGATTAAAGTAAATCTACGTTGGTGGAATCGAGCATAAATCTTACAAAAGAACAAATATAAATGTTCGAATCTTAATTCATAATTCCTAAACTTTACTGGCTAGACAAAATATGTAGAAAGAAAAATATCTAATGCAATAAAAGAGGAGTTTCTTTTATCAAATTGGAATGCTAGGAATTTATGCCCACATAATAACCACATTCCAAAGAAAGGATTCTAACCTGACATAGAAAAAATTATGTTTTCCTTTTCAATCCTTATCAATTTTTTTTTCCTCTCTTTTCCTATTGTAGGTAGAACCGTATTTTTACGATTCTTTAAACGTATTTTTATGTTCTTTAAATGGAATCCATTGCAATATTATGCATACTGTTGTCCTTAAATGGTGCAAACAAGAACAATAAGTAGCATCTTTATCCTATTGTCCTTCTATTTCTTTTTCTCTATCGGAAGAGAGAAAAGTCCAAAAAGCTTTCAAATCTTTATGGTCAGTTTACAAGAGGTAGAAAAAGCAATCCCCCGTAGGGTTTTGAAGGGCGTGCAAGCAGACTGAAAGCTAGTATTCTTTTCCTGATTTATTGCGGAGGCGGTTTCGCAAGCTAAATGTCCATTTGTCCACAAACCTTTGACAAATTGATTCTTTCTATTGGAAAGTCGAATCTTCTTTGAAAAAGGGAGAAAATGGATACACAGTTAGATTTAGAGCAAAGCAATAGAATGTATCAACTTGTGATCTTTATGACAAATCTGACAAATAATCACATTTTCTTTGGTTTCGTTATTTGCTTACTTCTAATAATATTGAATTTAATTTAATGTACTGATTTATAATTTCTTTATTAGTTTAGTTTTTTAGAGATATAGAAATGCAATTTTGATACGTGCTCATATATATTCTGTAATTATCAGAATACTTGATATTTAAAATCAGATCGAATAAAAATCAGATTTCTATTTTGTTAAGTAGATTGCGATTTCAATTAGATAAATTAAACATATAAAAATTGCTCATAAGTTCCTTGTGGATATATATACATATATATTTCTTCTATAATTATAATTATAATTAAATTTATGTACAATTATGTACAATATTTTAATATATTTTACATATTTCAAAAAAGAAATTCGTGTCTTTTTCCTTTGCAAGTTATTGTGTGATATCAAAGAATATCAAATACAGCGACTTACATGCTGAAAGCAGAAACATCTCACTACCCAATCTTTTATTACTGTTCCCTGTTCTATTATTTCGCGCTGATTAGCCGCCTTAGGTTCGGGGACCTCTGCAGAGCCCGTCGAAAGGCAGCGGACGTTATAACTTCCTGATGTGTAGTGTGATAAAAAAGCGTGAAAGAAAGCGAGACGGCGACTGAATCGGTACTAGCGCTACTTTGATCGAACCCGTGTCACAAAGAGCCGGCCTCGTCACCGGTTGAATAGTCCCGGCTAGGAGGTTGGATTAGGTGAGGCTAAGTTACTGAGGGTGGAGGGGCCCCTAGCAGCAAGACGATGTCTTGAATGGGGCACGTGCTACCATCGTCGTGATCTTTGGGCATGTCTGGCGATCTCTCTTTCTCTCTTCCCCTTCCGTTTGTCCCTTTGCTTGCCCGTCCGTCCGATCGTCTAGAGATGGATCTAGGTCTAGACTAGGGAACTCCTCGATGTTTCTTTTGGCTCGTCTCGCCAGCTGCTCCGTCAAAGTTGCGATTCCTACGGCACGTGTCTTTCTTACGGATCTTTTTATGTATAAACCGGGTCATCCTACCGACGGTGACCACGACGAATATCGCGTAGCAATTTCGCCTTTTGATTACGACATAATCTGATTCGGTATCTCACGCATTTTGAGACTTACAAAAAATTGGCAATTGCATTGATTTTATTCAAACATTATTCGATAGAAATTAAAATGAAAAATCGAACCAATTATTTTCGATATCAAAAGGGAATAGAAGCAATATTTTTAGAACCAATAAAATAAATTTTTACTTGTACTGTATTTGTTAAGTAAAATATATAAAAAATATATAAAAATTATTTAATAATGATGTAAGTCAAGATAGTTAAAAATATCTCGTGGAAGGCACTTTGTGCTTCATTGTCAGTTAATTATCTTAACGTATCTTATCTATTTGGCTTCATTTAATATTTGATAATTTATTTTTTATTATATAAAATACTTCAATTGCCTATAACTTCAACTTCAAGGGGCAAAAGCGATATATTATTTCGTTGCATTATCGACATGAATTATAAAAAAAAATCGCACAAATCTTTTATATATAACGCCGTTTTTATCAAAATGCGTGTCTCATTGAACGATGGCGGAATCGCTCGGTGAGTCCATAGTGCGAGAGAAAAGAGTCATGCGAGGGTGCTCGCGTGCCGAGGACGCAAATGCGTGCGCGCTACGCATCTGTCTCCTCTAGGGCAGGCGCGTACACGCACAAGCTGCTCGCGCGTATATGATCGCGACGCGGAACGTATTTATACGTATGACGCGTGCACGTAATCCAGCCTGTAAGGCATTCATACGTATGTGCATGCATGCGTGGTGCGTGTGTGCGTGCGTGCGTGCGTGCGTGCATGCATGCGTGCGTGCGTGCGTGCGTGCGTGCGTGCGTGCGTGCGTGCGTGCGTGCGTGCGTGCGTGCGTGCGTGCGTGCGTGCGTGCGTGCGTGCGAGCGAGTTCGGGCATGCGAGAGCCACGTAGTGATATATGGTGTATATATACAATAAGGTCGGTACATTCAGCCCTTAGTTGCTATGCTACTGGTACGTACGTAGACTGGTGGATTGGAAGGTTATGGTGTACATCACGTTGATATTACTTCACCGTACACTGACATACTCTGTCGATAGAAATCGCCATCCTGAATAGATACTTTCGTTTGCCACGACGTTCCATGACAGCCGCTGAAATGCAATAAATCGGCCGATAACAAATTGCCGCCGAGCGGCAGTCTACTTCGATGCGATAACCGGAATTGCGTGGGGATTTATGATCCAACGGTGCCTGCATAGCAGGCCGTATCGAAACTTCCACTTCGTTGTCCTTGGAATTTGGAACGTAGATCCGTCTCGTTAGATTCATAAAGTTGTAAATAATAAAAATTGAAAAACATGTTTATTAAAAATACTAATGTCAAGATTGCAGAACAGATAATGATAAACAAAACCGACGATTAAATAATATCTGATTTTTTTATATATTTAAATTATATACAAAGTGCAAAATTGATTTTGCAATATAAAATATTATTGAAAGTTTTAATCGGAAAAATGTTAAATTTTAAAAATAATATAAAATCATGTATGCGCACGCATTAAATATTTTTATAGCATTCGATGGATTATCGTAGCGTATTCAATCGTTAACTAGCATCGCCGTTATGTTGGTCCGCAATGCTGGAATTTCTTTATGGTATTGACGTATCGCAAACAAACTTGGTATCGAACGCCATAACGCCGTCATAACATCGCCAATAAATCAAGAATAATAGATCCGGTGAAACAAGTCCAATTGAAGCTACTTTCACTTCATTGTGTTTCACGTTTACAGTTTTGTTTCATGTGCCGCTACGAAATGACAAAATACAAATAATAAATTTCAATTAGTAATATTCTTAAGATATTGAACAATTAGTAATATTCTTAAGATATTGAAAAATACAATATTAATTACAATTACAGTTTTCTTACTGAATAAAATTTAATTTTTACATGATAAACTTAATTGTAAAAAGATAATTCTGATTTTCATGGTTATCACAGTAGTTGACAAATAATGACGATTTAATGCTGTCTCAAGTAAAGAACAATTATGTATTAGATTTAACTTTCATATAAATATAAATAAATTACAAAGGCGAAGTTAATTTACTGCTTATCATTATTATTATGATTATCAATTTAATTTATTGTACAATACATCGATGGCCACAAAATAATCTTGCTACAATAGATTTATATTATTTAATAACAGACAATAGATTATATACTTTTCAATAATAGTATTATTATAAATTAAATGAAAATTATAAATATAATTAGAAATGATATAATTGCATAAAATATATAGTAAATTTATACTTGTGCATCGATCTCAGGCAAAAAAATAAGATGATCTGTAAAATAAGATGATTTTACGCGTTACATAAAATAATGAATGTCGATTGCAGAACCGCTAGCTATTTGTTATTCTATTAGAATATTAGAAGAAGGGGTTACAATATTACACACAATATTACAACATTGGAGTCAAAATTTCTCAAGGATAACGGATTGACCGTATCTCGTTGTATTTTAATGTCCAACACTCTCCTCATCGGCATGCATTCTGATGTGCCTCCAAGATTAACCGATTCACATTCACTTGTCTCATCCGGATGTATGAGAAATTCTTATTTGAACTAATTTTATTCCTTTTATCGATATCATATTTAACGATAACCATGATACAGATTACGCATTGATAATGCTCATAATCAAAGGTCGATTGATATGAATTTCAAGGGTATAATTGATAACATAAGAAATTATGTATCCCTAATCGCATTGCATCAACTAAAAAGTATAATACGTTAGGAATTTGTGGAATAATAAAAGGTTTTGTGTGTTTCGATTATTATCTGACATCTGAAAATCGCATAAAATATCTTTGTGCCTTTTTAAATTATTACGTTTTATTTATAGGTATAATTTTTGATCAAAATCAAATTTAATGATAAAAATTGTATGATATAAAATATGATATAAAATTTAATTATAATTTTAACTTTTTGTACTGTAACTTATTGATTCACACACGGAAATTGCTCATTGTATCTGATTGAAATTTGTGGTATAAAAATTTTTCTTCGAAAGGATATGAACAAGCGATTTCGGATAATATAAACAGGAAAAGTATATCTTCGATGAATATCGATGAAGATATGACAATCTGTCTTGGTGATAATGCACATTTATAAAAGGCAGTCTGTCTGAATTGAATTCGCATTTAAACGAATAAGGTGTTAATATAACGATATTCTCTTCTTCAAATTTTCAAATTGGAAATAGGCGATGAAGGGTAAGTGTATAACATATTATCATAATCAAAAACTATTAAAATAAAACGTTGGAACTATATATTTAGATCGTACATATCAAGAAGTTTTTATCATTTTAAATTTATATAAATAATTGATAGCTTTTGGATTGCAATAAAAATCGGTTATATCACTAATTGTATCGTGTCTGATATTATAACAATAATTTTGTTTGATATAGGAATATACATTTTTGCTATTGCCTTCTTGGCATTTTCGACCGAAATTACTGCGACTGAAAATCAAATTCAACAATCCTCTTTGAAAGAAAGATCTTACTGTCTTTCGACTATTCCGACAGTATGTCCATTCCCAGAGAAATATGCGAGCAATCTTCCGCACGAAACTAACTGTACGAAATTCTACAAGTGCTTCTTGGGTAAAGGAGTTTTGCAGGATTGTCCCTTGATGACCAAGGGAGATCCCTATACAAGGCTACATTACAATAGACAGGAAATGGTTTGCGATTGGCCATGGCGAGCCGGTTGTATTAATTGTCCTGACAAGGATGAAAATGGCTGCTGGCCGGAAGCCAAAATATCTCACGAAACAGATGATTGTAATTTGTACTACGAATGCATAAATGGTGAAAAACATTTGAGAAGGTGTACTCCTGGTACGTGCTTTAGTCGCACGTGCCAGGCTTGCGTTCGAAACCGTGCAGGTGGAAATTGCGAAGATAACACATGCGATGGCGATAAACGTAAACATGAATGTAACTGCAATATGTATTATGAGTGTTACAATAACGAGTGGTATCCAAAGTATTGCGGCGGGGGTCTTCATTTTGATCCCCGAACTAAGAGTTGCGTTGCTCCAAATGAGGCTAACTGTGTTATATAATACGATTATAGTAAAAAGAAGATATTGATTTGCCACATCATTTCTTCTTTGGAATTGAGCATACTATAATTTTGTTTGCAAAATCAACAAAAATTAGAGCGATGTTCGAATTCGATGGTCGAAAGGTCAAATATTAATTACCTATATTTAAAATATATTCAGAAAATTAAAAAATACTTTGAAATGATTTTATTTTATTCCTTGAAAGAATTAAGAAGGCGTAATAAAATATATGGAAATTATATATAATAAAAATCATAGCAAATTATTGACTACAAATATATATAAGTTTATTTCCCTCAGAATTTATATTAAGATAATATGAAGATAAGAGATAACTATGAAGTAGATGTCTGGAGAATTAAAAGGTGATCTTCGCGCATTGCAAAGCGAAGAAGTAGTCTATTTTCTTGGAGCAGTTGTGCTGACGTGTTCTTACGAACTAGCCGTCTGGCTTGTATCTCGGTTGCAATCAGCTTCTACCGCGAAAGAATAAGCGGATTGCATGTCAGCTACCCGCGTTACTACTTGCTGTAACATGCGCGAATTATGTAAGTACCGAATTGCGCGTGTGTGTCAAAGAGAATGCGCTACTGTTATTGTATCCGATAGCGTTATCCGCATTAAATGATATACATGTAGTTTACCTCTCACGTCTTTTCCTTTTATTCCGCATACTCACGCATAATTTACGTGATTCTCCGCGTGTTTGCCATAACATATACGGCGGAAAATCTCGAAATGAAACATCGACAGATTTTCCGCTGATATCCATAGTGTCTCTTATGCAGCCTCCGAGATAAAAATAGAGTAATAAAAATAAGCGAAATCGATAAATTTGTATAATATAATGCAGTATAGTGTAATCATTTCCTTAATAATTATATATATATATATAAAGTACGTGTGTAAAGAATAATATTTTTATCTGGCCAAATGCTCCAAAAATATACTCTGTTTATGCGCGCGGTAAACGCGTGTCTCGCTTTTCGAGAGAACCGGCGTTTTACACCGCTACGAGATATCGAGTAGAAAAAGCGCCGGCAATATAGTTTTACGACGAAACGCGTAACAGGCAGTACGTTTGAAAATAATTGCCGCCTCGATGGCAACGATTAATGCTATTGCCAGAATTAATTATTGTGGCGGTAGCTTATTAGATATTTTTATTACCGCTCGTTAAACGCGTGCACGCGAGCAGGGATGAGGGACTTGCTCTCGGTACACATTCTTCGTAAATGATATCATTGGAAAGTTTATTCTTTCCAAATGCGCGAGCATTTTGTTAAGGAGGCGCTTATTAAGTTAATACTCGCCCATATTGACCGCTTTACATCGGACTTCGTCTCTGGGCCCGACGATAACACGATGAGTTTTGTGACGCACGCGCATAGATAACAGTAGGGGATAAAGAGAAATGATTTAATTGTTAACGTGACAGAGGAAACATTAATAAATATTTCGAAATGGACACGGACGGACACTACATTGGCACTAATGATCTCCGATAAGGTAAACGGTCGTTTCTCTTTAATGACATTCGTTGCACCATGCGTCACCCTCATCGTTCCAAAGCAATTAGTAAACGAACTTTCATAGTATCTGCCCCGATAATTTCCAACGATAACACTTAAGCGTTTTATAATGTTAGTTGAAACTCATTTTTCGTTATTAATACCTGATGAAATTTGGAAAAATATTTGAAAGTGTGTCTCCATCGGAACGATTTACAAACAAGTCACGAATTGTCTTATTTTCTGAATAATGGGCGTCCACATGAAAAAAATAAAACAGTTCACAATCTGTTCGTAAATTGTTCGCCAACTTCAATGAAGACGCACCTTTAGAATCGATAAATAATTAACGAGTGAGTCAAAATTAACGGGTGATGCAAAACGAATGCATGTGACAATGGAATCATGCCATGATTATGCCTATAATATTAATATATCACGCAATTTATTAAAGTGACATTAAGTGAATGCGAAAATGGAATGTTCGTAATTGGGTTCGTTAAATGAATGAGCCGCCACATTTCTCAATCGCTAATTACTTCAACTTGTCTCTTTTCTTATGAGATAAGTATGAGATAATATACCAATCTTTATTTAATACAGTATACATCCATATTAAGAGGGTGAAATTCATTTTTTTGATACATAAAATATGTTTTCTTAACATTAGAGTGTTAAAAATGATGAAATATTCTAGTTTGAAGAATGAATAAAATAAAATTAAAATATCTCTTTTCTTTTATTCTTCTATGGTCGGTATTTTAGACATGTAAGCACGCAAGGTTTGACCTAAGAATAAACGAGATAGGTAAATTTGATAAAATTTCTGACGAGGAATCACACCTCGATCTCACCTCTCGTGCAGATGGCAGCGTGAATCCGTTTGTCGACGGTCGTTCAATGGTGACGACGGAATGAAGAGCGCCTTTCAATGACAGTACACTTCGTAGTCAACACTCCACTTCACTTGCGATTTATATTATGCATTTGTCTGACACTTACTAAAATTCACTTTCCAAATAAGTCAATCTCTATTTCCATGAAAAAGCAATCGTTGCCTATAAGTTGATCGGCAACGTTCTGTTTCCTCCGTCATCAAACGTTAACCTCTGTCACGAACTGTTCACTTGCGTCACTTGCTGTCGTTTTATAATTCGTGTAAAAATAGAAGGAAATATAGTATATTTTTAACGATAAAGTACGATATCGAATGGCGTACGTATATATTTAAAGATATACTCAGGATATATCTCATATATGTTACTAACAATCTTGTTTATACTTCGCTCGGCACTTTCCACATCCACGGTCGTTGTGTCATGGATTTATTGATCTCAAATAGATGGGGTGGTTCGCGTTAGGACTAATCCGTAAACAGATACAATACTACGAAATTTCGAACGATTATAACCGTCGACTCAGTGGTATCTTTCGTCCTGGAAACTCAGTCGTGAAATTTCGTGATATCTTGATATATTCGGCTCTCTCAAACACAAAAATTTTCCACCGTGATAGACATTTATAGTCGAAATCTTTCTTCGAAACTCACAATTCGATTAAACATCTGAAAACGGAATAATTCCTCTCTTCGCGACTTCGAAGATCTTGTTGATTCGATCGCGTCCTCGCTGTTTCTAAGACACGTGATAGTTCTTCCAAAGATACTGAACGAGATAGTGCGCGTCGCGTCGCTACCAAGTACGATCTCCGAGCGGGGCGCACGAAGACGACTCGATCAAAGGGGTGCGCCGCAACAGGTGAGAGAGAAAGGGAGAGGGCGGAGTGGGAGGGATAGGTAGAGCGACGAGGGAGAGAAAGAGAGGGCCGGACAATGACGATGATGGCAGTGTAACACCGCACGTAGTAGCGGACAGTCGGCGACTAAGGCCCCTGAGGAGAAGTCTCACCTCTCTCTCCTTCGTCTCTTCTCTCGTCCTCTCGTTTCTCTCTTCCGACAGGCTCTCTCTCTCTCTC